AGAAGACACGCATTGGAAAATCATGATTCAGAGCAGAACAAAGGAGTTGCAGGGAAAAAAATGTGGCACCCTCATTAGGAAACAGAGTGTACAGAGCAATGAAGGCAAAAAATGCATATTTTGGAGCTAAAAAAGACAAAAGAGCAGAAAGAAAGGGATAAGAATAAATACCGAATAACACAAGATATGAATGAAAGGTGTCATCAAATTAATCTATGTGCAACTCCAAGGAGGCATTAATTTCTGGAAAATAAAATATAGTGCCAAAGCATCTCTCATATGGGAATTAAGAACAGACTGAAAAGTTCACTCATCAGATAAGAAAGGATAGAGCATTCTTGTCTATCAGAAGTAGGGAGAAAGCTCAACATTTTGTGGAAAACGAGAAAGGCTAAAGGCCATATAATTATCATTTTGAGATTCACATAAGTAGGACTTACATGAAAGCACAGGAGAACACTTTCACTTTTGGACCATTTGAGGATTCTGTCAGTAAAGTGGCTTTATGACAAAAACACATAAGGGAATACACACAAGGATGAATCAGAAGGTAACCATTAGACCTTAAAAAGGTACTTGTACTAAGTCTTGAATTGTAAATAGACTAAAGGAGTTTTTGTTGCTACAGCTGATGACACACAAGTTTACAAAAAAAAAAAAATCTCATATAAAATGAATCAGGTGGAATCGCATCCTAAAAATAAAACAAAAATTGGTATAGGCTGGTGAACTACAGTGAAATAAGTCCAAAAAAAATTGTCTACTAACATGTGCCACCTCTCAAAGGAACGACGGGTATAAAAGTAATAAAGATTTCTGTGAGAAATAGTTTTGCAGGGTAACACTAAATGGTATCCAAGAATAAGAAGGCACAGCCACCTCTCATACCTGCTACTGAAACCAAGATCAAATAAAAATAAATATATGGAGACAAATATGATGGAGACACTCATTAAGCAAAAAAAACTTTAGAACCTTGTACAGGTATGAGAATTTAATGTGGATTAGGAGATATGAAACTGCAATGATTTGCAGGCGAGATGGTAATAAGAGATACATCTTATTAGCCAAGTTTACTATGCTAGGTAAACAATAAAGAAGATTCAAGGAAGAAAAGCATTTCGCAATGGTCTTTTCAGTCCTGTAATTAAAACTTAAGCAGACAAGCTCCAAAAAACATTATAAGAAAATTCTGAAAGTGAGAGGTAAATTGGATCTCATTCAAACAAGTAGAAAAGAAAAAACGTCAAGATATATAAGGCACAACTTCTACGAAAGAATGACAGGGCAGGCACATCCCTAGTTAGAAAGCTACAGAAAATATGTAGAGAACAGCATCCCAGTCACTAGGGACAGTAGGTAATTAGTTCAGAGAAGAGAAGACAAACTTCTGGAGAATTTTATAAGGGATGCCATCCCCCAGACTACTGATAAAGAGTTACAGTCTCTAGATAAATTCAAAAAGCAAAATTTAATTAGAAAACAAAAGGATACTCCCTGGCCTTCAGGAGAGAAGGTAAAAAATTCCTGAGGAAGAAGATTAAATGTAGGAACCTCATATGTTTATTAACTGTTTGAACATAAACACAGACACCATCCCCAGACTCTAAGAAGAATTTTAATTCCCATGTTATTGGACTTATTTATTGTGATTGAGAGGAGAGTTGCATTGCCAAACAAGGAGATTTCATAAACTGATCATTGCGTAACGTTCCTCCATATTTCCACCCAATGTCTTTTTTGTTGGTACACTGGGGTTTGTTAGTTAGTGATGTTCACCTAGACTGATTAAAATTTATTGTGGAAAAAATTTAAGGCGGGAAAACACATTTCAGATAACATTTTATAAAATCAACAGTCACAACAATCTTTTCTCAATCCAGAAAAGGCCACTTAGAGAAGAAAATATGTGTCCCATGTTAGCAGTGTCTGGCTTTGAAAGTAAGTTGAGATCTGCATTTCTGCTTTATTTAAAAGAGCTTCCATAAGAGTGAACAGATTTACATTAAAAAAAGAGGCACGAAGAAGGGTAAACATCACCACATCTACAGTTTGTTCCAGACGTGGGATGTCCAGAAACATAGATCAGGAAATATCCAAAGATGACGGGCAGAAAGGGCAGATTGGAGCTGTACCATGCTCACTTGCACATTCTATGCTACTTTTTGTGCAAAATTTGTTTCCTCCTTAAAAGCAACATCATTTCAAACACATAGATTTGCTGCTTCCATCTCTACATATCAAAAGAATAACAATAAACCTGAAGTATTACATGACAACCTTTCCATAAAAATTAAGACTTATAAATTTAAATGTATTAAAAATCAATGAGATACTTAAAGAAAAAAACACAAGGATCTGTTTAGTGCTAATTATGTTAAAGTTCAGTCTAAATTAACAGAAGCCTCACAAATGAGTAGAGACATAGTGGACAGAATAGTTAAAACCAGACCAGTCTCTTAACTTAGATTTCTATACATTGGCTTAGCTATATACTCAGAAACACAAATATCTGAATGCCACAACACTTCACAAGTTTCTCAGATGTTCCCTGCCAGCTTCATCTAGATGCAAGAGGCTCAGAATGCGAGAATATTACAAAGGACTTCAAAGACTGGAAGACCTTCTGCCTCCAAATACTCATCACCCATGTTAAAACTATGGATTTCCTCCTTAAGACCTAAAAAAATATGTAACTTCACTTGGATCAAAACAGGAATTTCTTAGTTAGGCCACCTCTTAGGGGGGAAAAAATGAAATCTTATCAATGTATTTCTGAAAGTAATACTTGAGTGAAAGTTTTTCATTTACAGTATCTTCAAGTTGGAATTTTATAATCAAAATATAGACAGATTTCGGCAGACTTAACCTTCTGAATAACTGATATAAAGGGACTCAAGTAAACAAGGGCTCCCTTTCTAAATATACACATTTTAATAAAAGAAGAAATAGATGGGAAGACTAAGCAAATGAGAAACGGGAGAGATATCCTTGGGGGATAAAAGAGCTTTGAGGAATATGTACAAATACATCACAGATGGTACCTGTCTCCAACTAGGATTCAAGATATTTTATCCAAGAATGCTGTTAGAGAGACCACGGGACAAAAATCTTCTTCCACATATGTCATTGGGCCTAGGTCCAGACACTCATTGGAAGTAACCAGAAGAATAACAACAGTGATGGATGGTAATATCCTATTAGACTCGCTTGTTTGATTCCTGAATGATCCCTTTAAGGACACTCAAGAGGTGAAAGAAAAATTACTGTACTTTTGATGGTAGCAATTAGACTCTATATTTGCTTATACATAGAAGGATTAACTTCCTTATCATCTCCCCATCCCTGAAAAAATGGTACAATAAAATATGAGATGCCCTAGTGAAGAATAAAAGTATTCTATCAGTTCACGTTGCCAAAAAAGAGGTCAGAAAATATGTCATTTCTTATTTATTCAAAGAACAAAAATTGATCAGCTCGTAAATGAAACACACTGAACATTACTGGATAGGGAGAGATAATAGGAAAAGCTTTCCTTCTTCCTATTTACTGTCACTATTCTGACAATAGATGGGGTTCTCACTAAGGACTACTGCAAATCTGCACCACTGCCCTGGAACAGCAGTCACAATTTATACCTTGTACAATTGCTCTGCACGTTTGGTTTTTTCAGTTGCTTATATGAACTTATTTTTTTAAAAGAAAGGGTTAGAACTGTAAAAACAAGGAAGAGCTATGCCTGTGTTTTCTTTTTGTTGAGGGGAGGTCTTGCAATTATTAAACTGAATTTTGAGCTGAACTTTGAACAAGGGAAAAACCTGCAGATGATCACAGACTGGATATATAGCATCAATTTTGTAATGAATTATGTTGGTGTAAGGGTTTCAGATGCACTCCTCTAATCTTCTTGAGTAATTCACAATACTGGAAAAGAATGAAAAAGTGTGTATGAAGTCAGTTAAAGCTTCCTGCTCACCAACTTGCTGTACAGTGGCTTCATGGATCACAGAAGTGGTCAGAAGGATGACGACAGTCAAGAAATATTACACACCTCCCATCAACAGCACTTTTCTTACCTCGAAAGTCATGTGCATCACACATTTGTGCAGAACAACAGAGTAGGGTTTGTGTTGGGAGAGCAAAATAGCACCAGATGTATGGGAGAGGTGAAGCACATGATGCATGGGCTGAGTAGAGATTAAAACAGGTCTGGTTTTCTATAATCTCAGTCTTTGTGGGATGCTAGGACACACTGGGTGTCCAGAAAGCATTTGATTTGCCTTTGTAAGTAAATAAATCTAAGATATGATATTGTGTTCTTATTATCTTACATCTCTGCTCAAAAACATATTCTGCAAGAGCACTACATAGAGTAAATAAAACAGCCTAAGATGAATTATTCATCACGCATCTGTATCCACTCATTATTCTTCTAAAAGAAATATAACTCACTCCCAGAGTCCAAAAACTGTCTGACTGCTCAGAAGTTGTGACAATATTATTTTTGCTTTCCCCTTCAAATCACAAGAAAGATTGTGTATCAATCTGAAGCAGAGGCTAAAGCATACCCGGAATGGAGTCTGACATCTTTTTTTATACTCCAAACCAGGACTAAAACCACAGATAAATGTATTCAGCTACCAAAGGGCTGGGCTACCTGATATACGAGAGAGGAAAAAAACTCAACTCCAGGAAAAATTTAGCTCCTTCATCCTTTGAAACCCGCCCACACAAGTAACCTACAGAACTGGCAGCAATTCACCCAAAAAAGTTGTAAAAGTTGCCTGGTTCCTGGCAGTTGCTCAGGACGCTGAGGACCATGCTCTCCTGCTCCCTCTGATGCTGAGTAACACTTCCCTGTATAAGCATGGATACAATGAGGGCATCAACTAGCTGAAGTCTACTAATCATTGCATGTTATTTTTTTTTTTCCTTCCCCCCCATTTCTCTTACTCAGATCTACTTGGGCCAGACATTTCAGAATGACCCTTGGCATGTACCTTCCTTCAGTCGATGCATCCCAAGTTCCACGGTGATTTGGACACAGTAGACCTCCCGGGTTTGTATGCCACCTCCACACAGATCTACGTGCTTTTGGTAGCGAGGGTCCTCCTGGTAAAGAAGAGACACTTGGCAAGCTTTCCATTCAGAAGTCCTCCAGGCAAACCTTTGGAAACAAAAGAGACCAGGTAAAACAAGTTTGTGAAAAGTTATGGGTGAGAGAGTGGTGCTTTATTAGATGACAAAATACAATTGTTTTAACCTTTACAGCAGCTCTTCCCTATCCAAAACAGGGAATGCTTTGAAACATTTTGAATGCTAAATTTACAAGGGTTAAGTATTTGCTATTTGTCTGGAGTACTTGTGTAAAATTTTTCATAGAGCACTAATCTCCAAAGCATTCTGAAACACTAAATCATCCTGACAACACCTTTGAGCAGGGTGCAAACAAAGGAGGAATGAATATTAAGAGGTTCGATTAAGTACGAAAACTAGTTTTCAAACATGTGGCTCAAATCACTAAACCACCTCTCTCTGCCAAGGGCTGAAAGCCTCATTCGGAAATGCACTGAATAGGTAAAACCTGCATACATCAATGGAGCTCCATCCAAGCACCAGGCAGCTTTTCTACAGGAGACAATTTTATAAACACTTAGGGTACTACCACTTTCTTCAAGGGATTGGCTAAAGTAACTCAGCTCTCTCACTTTCCAGAAGTTGTGATACACAGCAAGCTCTAGTTAAAAATACTTTCATTCTCTATTCTGGTCACACCTAAAAAGCATTAACGGTTTTCAAGGAAGGATAACATTCTTGGGCACAGATAGCCGAATACTGTACAACCATCATGCGATGTACCAGCTTATATGCCAGGAAGAACTTATTAAAACTATAGGGAAAACAGTATTGTGTATTGGTGTAAAACAAAAGTTATTTCCCCATTGTGTCTGAAAATGTAGAGCATATTTATAACACAACAGTTTTCACAGGCAACAACAGTTTTCACTGGCATAATTCATTTTGATTCACAGGTCACAGTATCGGCAGAGTAAATAAGAGCCCAAAGTCTTTCTTCGCTTCCTGAACGCAAATCTTAGGCAATATTGTTTTTATAACCAATCTGTTCACACTTCTGCTGCTTTATTCTTTTGCTCCTCTAAATTTCAGTTTACTTTTTCCACACAATCTTTGGCTTTTGTGTAATGTAAACTATGTAAAGTAATTTCCTTCTTTTATTCTCAGGACAAATGTTCTCTCCTCTTAAAACAGATCCATGGTCGTTAAAACTAGGTATGGTTGTTAATCTGCTGACTGATCACTGTATACTCAAGCACAATGGGGTGCCTCTGGAGAAAAAGCCTTTCATATTGTAATTCTCCATAGCCAGTATCTGTTTCTGACTTCAGCTGTGGCAAGGAAACACACGTCTCAAAATTATATGAAAAATAAATAAATTAGCTTGCCTGAGCACACATCAATGTTCCCAACTTATGTTGTAAATATGGTCATAAGAATGATTTCTAGCCACAGAGCATTTATGAATTTTGTAACATACTCATGGAAAACATTTGCGAATACTGCCAATTACTTTTAATTTACAGGTACTTTTCAGATGAGCTGTTGTGCTCTCTTAAATAATATACAGTTATCATGTGAAAATTTGGATACACTCACAGAGTTTATTACCAACAGAGAAAACAATTAAGAATACACTTTTCACATGACAAGCATAAAATACTTGAACTCCCACAACATATAAAGCAGAGCCATGATTTTTTTTTTTTCTTCTAGTAGTTCCTTCTGGGAATTCCTAATCACATTTCTTGGGCCTGCAGCATTAAATGCAACCTTCCTCTTATCATAAAGGCAATGCAAAGGGCTCTTCATCAAACACCAGGTGAAGAGGATTCCTCCTCCACACCAGTTCAGGTCACTGTGCTCTTCAGGTCTACACTTTCAAAACCAGAGCTTAAATATAGACCACACATCTTTCCACAGCCACTGAAATAGTAGTTTTAGAGAAGTATTTCTTAAAGTAATAAAGAAAAAATTATTATCAATATCTGTCTTAGATAGTCAGCTGTGAACTCGATGCTAAAGACTCATTTCCAGAGGTGTGAGCACCTGCTTCTCCTATTCAGCGTAAATTGTGGGAGTTAACACCTATGAAGATTAGGCCATCAGTGATTAAAATTATGCAAAATAACTAAATCTAAGATCAGAGATTATTAAACTTTATCGTCCCTGAATCTAAAAAAAAACCCACAACCTTTTAGATATTTTCACAGAGTAACTGGATACTGTGCTACACTGTGGAGCAATCTTTAATGAACAGCTATCGGGTGCTCCAGCCAGTGCCTGCTCTGCTGTGAGCAGCTTAAAACCTTGATTTTTCCCAGCCAGACACACCCTCAGCTGCCCAGAGTTTTCCAGTAACAAATCCTGACCCCCAAGCATTAGTTGTTTAAAAGGTACATGTTTTCAGGGCCACTAACAAGCCCACTAGACCAGAAACATAGCCAAGGGATTGCTATCCCACTGAGGGAAAAAACTAAGGTAAGAGATCTCCAGACAGATGCAGCCACCTCAGACAGCTTTGTGGCAGGCATTGCAGGGTTTTAAGCAGCGTGGCTGACACCTGGTATTAGTTTGCCCCTCTATGGGCAACTCGAAAGACAAGGAGAATTACGTTACTTAACAATGAGAAACTGAGTAATCTCTATTCATATTTAATCAGAAGCTTGTTAGTAGCCATTAGCAAATAAAAATGAGATTACTGGCTGGCAAATACTTGGGGGTTTTTGTAACTTTGGCAACCTCAAACCAGTAGTTGCAAATTCTTACCAATATCCACATTGGGTTTACCATATGACTAATTTTTCCAATTGAATGAGGATGACCAAAGCCACCAACGCCACTAGGGACATTCTGTTGTTAGAACAGACTACACCAGAAACACAGCGTACCAGGCTTAAGCTAAGGGGCCAAGACCATCCAGACATCCCGTTCACCACCCCAGAGGGTGCAGCGTGTGATAACTCGGGAAGTAAAAGGGGCATTATATGTTTGGATCAAAACTGGTCAGCTCCAGTGTACTCCTGTGATCCCTACACCAAAACCTGTCAGTGACAACAATTTCAAATGTCAATAGATTCAACATCTCATTTTAACTCCTACCAATATCTAGTTAGACTGATGCAAACTCAGTATAGTTGCAGTCCTAGCTGTGATCCATGTTTATCTACAAACCACTTACTATAGCTGAAAGAGTTTCAGCCTTTCCCTTTGGCTTCCCAATAGGTTTATTCCAGTTTTTGACAATATTGTCTGCATTACAGGAGGTCTAGGTACTTCAAAGATTGACAGACCCCACTGCTGATGGTTAGTCAGCTAGATAATGTCCAAATGTGGAACTCCAGAATGCACAGACAGATATATCAGCTTGCTTAAGAAAACTGGCAAGCAAAAACTGCTAGTTTAGAACCAATAAAGTGTATGCTTAAGTTATCTAGGAGGGAACTTGGCTGATAAAGCTGAACAGTTTTTCACATCATAAGCAGTGCTGTGAACTTCCCTGCTAAACAGTTGAGGAAGCACTAGGGCAGGTCCTGCAGGTTTCTGTTACGATCAAGGCAAAGCATGCTCTTGGACGGTGACACCCAACTGTGGCCACACAAGAAGTGTCCAGCATGGAGCTGGAGAACCAAAGCTTCACCACGAATGGTTCCTGATCCGAGGGGAGGCAACAATGCTGCCCAGCTGAATGGAGGTCAGTGCTGTGTGCCCCAGACCGGTGGATGTCAAAGGGCTGAAGAGTAGCGTTGCTACTAGTCCCAAAGCGTAACTCCAGCAGCTACCAGCACGGTTCACAGCATTTCCTTTCAAGTCTTCACACTAACACCTTCACACCAATGCCTCGTCTTTAATTGGGACACATAAAGGGGCCTCATTTAGAAAGTGATATCATCACACCTGTATCTCAGCAGTAACCGCAAGCCTTTTGAAAAAATTGGGTCTTAAAACTTTTCCATTTTCCATCATTTAACTTCTGAAAAGCTTTGAATTTCCAACAAAGCAAAGAGGGTTTTTTTTTTCCTAAATCCCTGTCTTGTAACATAGCAACCACAACCAAAATGAAAGATTTAAAGACATAATCATAATTCTGGAAAATCTATCTATCCCCAGTGAACATGAAAGCTACACATCAAGGATAAAAATGATATAATACATTGTTTTAAAACTGATGACTCAGTGACAGGTATGCAACAAACAAGTGCTCAATATCCTTCCGATTTATAGTAACCTCTTGGTTTCTTTAGTCTACAGGACTTATGCTCTTAGCACTTACACAAGTTTTATACCCATATATACCCATTCACTTTAATTGAACTATCCCAAATTTATATCACAATAAAAGAAAGTTGAATCACCTCCTATGTATTTAAGCTTTTTAAGTACTTAATCTAATCCCGTCAGAAGAAATAACCAAAAGTAAAACAAAGCACAAAGCTCTGGAGTCCTACATGTAGTTAAAGTGTTTTATTTTCTTGCATTTAAACTATCGATTAAAGAAGTTATTGTAAACTTCAGCCATAAAATTAAAAGGCCTTCCCATTTAACAGCAAATTTACACTAATTGCCAGGTACCTGTGATGGGACCTTTAACTTGTAGCCTTGCCATGGACACAGAGATAATACTTAACAGAGCAGTTCTGAAGATGAAGGTATTTTTTTCCCCCCTCTGGATCCTTTTAGGAGGCTAGAATATAACTTCACCCATCTCCCCTCACTGAGTACAACTCTGCATGTGCTACCTCTTGAGCTGCTGCTTTTCTGTGTTGGTGGATGTAGTCTGTAGTATGTACCCTCATTCAGTCACGGGGTCTTCTCTGCTCCTACATTAAAAAACTGCCTCTGGAGAATCCCCTTCCTTCTACTGCTCAGAGACTCACTCTCTCTCTCTGGTCTATGTCCTCACCATTTTTTTTCTGTGCCTGGAGAATGCTTTGGAAAATTCTTGCCCAAAGAATAAAGGAAAGGCTTCTTGTCTTAAAATCAACCAAAAAAAAAATAGCAAAGAGCAGATTTCAAGGAACTGGGAAAGTAAATAGGACTCTCACCTTAAAAGATTTTAAGACTAATCTGATTAGGCAAACACAAGCCAGGAAGAAAGAATGAAGGGTTTGTGTTGAGACCAAACAAATGAAGAAGAAAGCCTTTTACTTCTGCTACTGAATCTCCTTAACTTCATCATCTTCTTGTAAGGGGAAGAAAGAAAAGATAACTGTTTGGTAAGCCTCAGCAAAGCCACAGATGAGGTGGCATATATTTAAGGGGAAAAAAAGCATAATCTTTCTAGGTATTACACTGCAAAGAGAATATGCTCAAATAAGGCGAATAGAAGCATCAAAGACTTCTTAGATTATTCCATAGGGATCTGCAGTACATGCCTCTATGGCTGAAAGCTACTGCTTTACAATCTGAAGTACTTCCAGTATCCCAGTATCTCGGTCACGAATTCCCAAAGACCAACACCAAATCACCAGGCTGTAAACTGTAACATGGACCGATAACATCCTTTACCAGCTGCTGACACATAAATAATATACTTTAATTAGTTTGATGTCTGTTCATTAATACAAAATTCTGGCCCCACAGCCTTACATCCAGAGGACCCACAGCACATACTTCAACATTACAGCTTTTCATTCATTCTTGTTTCTGCAGTATTGAATGGCCAAATCAAAACCTACTAACCAAGCGCTACTGCAAAAATACTCATGGTGTGAGGTCATAGGCTACTTCCTGCATTTTGAGATATTACATCCCTAAAAATTACAATTAGCTAAATACCAGAGATTTTTTTAATTTTCCACAGTATTTTTAGCTCTATTAGCTTGCAAGTCTAATGTTATTTTTCTGGATCAGCTCATTAGGCACTTTATCCTAGCTGATGTAGATACTTTGCTAGAGGTGTCCCCTGAAGGACTGAAGGTGTACAGGTATGGCAGGATGGGGAAGACTCAAGTGTTCATAGGCTCATGAAAACCTGCCCATAGCAGCAATATACTAAAGGAACAACAGGCTTCCTTCTAGAGTGGTACCTCCAGCAAATTATCAGTGTTATGCAGGTTCTTCTCACCTTTTGGACTCTCCTGGCTCTACATCCAGCCCCTACAATTGTTTTCACTTTTAATACAGTGCAATGTCAAAAATTGGAAGTGAGAAACTAGGGCAGACATATGTCTGTTCACTCCTTGATTAACCTCCAGCCAGTCTACCCCAATCAGGTGTCACCTGCACCCACGCTCCTATACAAAATCAGCAAGACAATGTGTTAATCTGTTGTCTTTGAAATTGATGTGCGTTTGGGCAGGAGCAAAAATCGCTCTGTAAGAGCCTTTTCATAGGATGTAATCAAGCAACAGAATATTTTTTTTTATACTTCCTCTCTTCTGCTAGCAGGGCGCATAAAAATGATCAGCATTTGATTTTGAATGAACCCAACGATATAGAGACACTTTTACAGGTTATGCCTTCCTAAGAAATCTACCTTGCAAAGGTTTTGGCAGTATCTGGCAAAGCCCCAGAAACTCATGACTTGAACACTGAACAGACCTCCTATTAAACACACTCATTCACAAAACGGCAGATTTGTCTGCATGGATATAAGATTTTATCAATCTTGAAACATTTTACAGTCAACCTCAGAACATGTCACATGAAAAATTAAGCAATATATTATTTTCTTTGCAAAGCAAACTAGCAGTTCCCCTATGCTAGCCTGGCCAAGTATAACAGCATGGATTTGCAGACCAGAAAGGCGAGATCCTCACTTTGTGCCAGAACAAAGATTGCCATAAACCAAGCAGGCACTCAGGGACTGCAAAGTTTCCCATTTCAAGAAGTGCCCAGAGGGAAGATGAGTAGGGTCCAAGCTATTACCTCTGATCAGTTCCCATTTTCCTTCAGCAAGACTGAGATCTTTTTATAGGGAGATGAAGAAGAATCGTTAAATCTTATGTAAAAATTACAATTTCAAAGCCAATAAAAGCACAGCCATGGAGACCTGCCCAGTCTCTCTGCAGCTGAGGAAATTCTCCGAAAGAGCAATCAGTATGAAAGCCCCTTCAGAGAACAGAGAGTATCTGCTCTCAATTTTTAAAATATGAAAATATAAACTGTAGTGGGTGTAATTTAAATTTATTTCTATATGTAAGTGTAATTATTGCAAGAGCAATAATGATAATAGCAACAATTACAAGAATATTAGTAACAATAAAGAATACTGCTAATCATAGTTAACAATGATCAAATCAATGATCTTTCAGACACAGAGAGAAAGCATGACCTGAGACCCTCTCCACACACAAACACTGAGCAAGGAAGATTTGCTTCGCACAAGGCAGTCACGAAATAGAGGTTTCTTTATTTCCAAAAATGGGGCTAAAAGCACTCGCTATACCTGGGGCAAGGCTGCAACAGCTCTTTTCCTCCCATGCTGCACGCTTCCCTCTCTTCCAGCTCTGGGCATGGCTTCCCGGCGCCCACTGCCACACTCCTCACGCCACGGCGCCGGCTCCGAAAGCCCGGGGCAAGCTCTCCCCAGCCACAGGTCCGCGAGCAGGTGCTCCACGCGGACCACTCCGTCGTCTCGCAGTCTTTAGCGATGACACACGACTTGAAGGTCAAAGGGACAGGATCTTGCATGCAGAGGCTGCAATAGGAACACAGTAAAACAGCTGAGACGGTCTTGCTCAGTAATTTTAAATTATTTTTTTTTAAAGCCAAATCCCCAAAGAAGAAATCCATGGTCATTTGGGATAAAATCAGAAAACCAGCATTAACATCAATACAATGGAAGAGAAGCTGTAGTGCAGTGCACATAACACACTTGCAGGGAGTTCTGGGTGCAATCTTGCATGCTAAACACTTTGCAAATAATATACCTCATTTATTTCAAGTTAAAACATATGCAAAAAGCACTATACTTGTTCCTGTGCAGTTAGAAACTCCCAGTTTATGCAAGATGGAAAATAAAAGCCAAACCCTAGAGAAATACTGCTACTGGTAACCATTCCTCCCACCCCATGCACAGGACTAGCTGCCCACCATCCGCCCACCCACCCAGGTGTCAGCCCATCCTGCTAAACAACTCTGCTCTTTTTAAAAAATAATTAGTCTCACACTAGTAAGAAAGATATTGGTTTTGTGAGGCTATTATCAAACAAGGTCAGAGGGTTTCCAAACCCAACAAACCACCAGACACCCAGGAATGCTGCAACTGTGGCTGTATTTTGGACTCAAATCACTCTTGCTGACATTAGGACGTGATCCTTATTCATCCTGTAACACATCAAGACACCACACAAGGCCCAATACAACAGAAAACCAAATTTTAAGAGCTGACAACTGTTGAGGTTTGGTATCAAGACACCAAGTCCCAGAATAAAATTTCAAAGTTACAATAGCTCTTCACACTATAGAAAAGTATGGCAAGTGTAGCAAATCCTTCTGGGAGAAGACAAACCTCCAGACCAAGGCCAGCATCCTTCCTTGCTCCTGGGCTTCTGCCTCAGCTGGCTGATAGCTCTCCTGCCCAGCACAGGCTGCGAGGTACCCCCCCAGAGCACAGCTTCTGCTGCTTCACCTCACTCACCCCAGCTGGAGATCAGAGTCACCACTCTTCTCCCAAAATGGGAAAAAGACCTTTCTTGTCTCTCAAACACCTTAGGTAGCTGAGGCAACAGAGCAGGAAAGGATATACTGAAAGAGGACTGAGGTACATATGAGCAGAGATATCACTGGAGCAACACAAAGGACAGGATGGGGCAAAAAAAGATAAAACCCAGAAAAAAAGGAGTCATCAGGAGAAAAGGAACTAAGATTTTCTGACTTCTGCCTAGTGTTATATGGATGATGCAAATTGGCCTCCAAAATTAAGACCATACATGAACTCAGTGTGAACTCTCTCTAAATTTGTCTTCTCCGGCCTCCGGTTGCTCACGGTCAGGCTTTTGCCAACTGTAAGGAGCAAATACAGATACACTTAAAAGGTGTGAAATCCAGAGCTGCTGCCAGGGAACTAGCCATTACCTCACTTGGTATTACTTATAGCACAGTTTGACTAACCTAACTTTCTCTAAAGAAAATAGACTGGGGCAATCTTTCAGGATTGCAGGGCAGTCTCGTAGAGGGAGCAGGGAAGATAAAGAACACTCACTCACTTCTCCAGTATAGAAATTATTCCCATTTTCACAAAGGTCAGCAGGAATATTCCCACTGATACCCGATCAAGTTTGACAAGACCCTCAACTACCAGCAAAATACAATTTAGTGGCTTAAATTTATACTTCAAACTAAAGAAAAAAAAAAAAAGTATAAAAACTTTTTTGTCTCAGTTTCTTCACCAAGAATAAAACTTATTCATCACACAGGTGCTGTGAGGATGAATTTACTGAGGCTTATTTTAACAACTTCATAAAGCTGAAACAGCCTGTGATATAGCCCCCTCAAAATAAAATTATTCTTGGTTACAACTCAAAAAGATGTCTCATTCCTCTATTACATGTCAAATGCAACTGATTGCAAAGCTGTCTCTGGTACAAAACATCAATACTATTGAACCAAGGACTGAAGAGTAATAATCATTGTATCTATATTTACTAACCCAGGGATTTTGCATCTTGTTTGGAATGTTAGGTTAGAGTCACATGAACGGTAACTATTTCTTTTTTAATACTTTTTCAAAAGTTATCAGGTGAGCCACCTGCGCCACAATATACCAGAAACAAAAATTCCACATTTTTGAGTAGGTAAAATACAAATAGATAAATACATACAAATCACTGCCCTAACTGATTGTGCTAGAAAACTAGATTTTATCTAAGAACACAGCATGAAGGGTAACTGATCTCACAAGTCAGAGAAAGCCACCAAAATTTTACATTCAGATACCAGTATGAAAATCCAAATTTATTTTTGAGGTTGTGCCACCGCAAAGGAGATTTAAGTCTTCCCTGATCTGTACTGAAATACCAAACAAAATGAATATGCTTTGGGGTCTTCTTTAAAATGAATATTGCTAACCCCAATTCTTAGTGAGACAATACCTACAATACCTTTCCTAATGGATTCAAATCTATGCTAACACTCTGCCCAGCAATCATCCTTGCTATTTGCAAAAGCTTTTGATGTATGCAAAGACTGAATAGCTGTTTCCTTCCCTGAAAATCCTTCCACTGCTCCTACTATAAAAGGCTAAACGGATAACTTCATTGACCTTAAGATGAACAAGATGTCAAGATGGTGATTTCCATCTTTCTGCTTAAATAAATGTTTTTTGAGGGAGAATTACACGCAATGGCCCAACAGAAAGCGAATCTAATTAACTTGTACCTACTCATTCAGAGCCTCAAAGTCAAATTAACTGTGACACCCAGCAACACAAAGACAAATGTAAAAACATGCTTTTCCATGAAATTCAGACACAGTTTTTTAATGTCACAGACGCATTTAGGACAATCTAATACAGAAAAAGCCCAGGCATGAGAGACACTTGCCGATCTGAGGCTGCAAACCAGGTGTGTATTTGTGCTGCTGCGGCTGTATCCCAACCAGTAGGGAGAAGAAGGAGGTTTTAGGGATGGGAGAGACTAAGCTCTGTTTTTAAACAAACTTTCCACATATATTAGATCTTCCTCTTTGGATTCAATCTAATAACTGTGACATAGTAGGATACTTATGTGATTAATGCTTTTTTCTTGTGTTACATGCTTGGATTGATCTGTAAAACTACAGGAATTGTTTCACAATGTACCTTATGCTGCCTGTGGTATAAAATGGATGTATTAGAAGAGAACAGCAGCACAAAGCCTAACTCACTTAAGTGGCAGATTGCCCTCTTACTCTCTTGTGTAATGAAGGGGAATAAACCATGTACAAAAAAAAACCCTCTAAACCAAAGGAAGCCTACTCATGTCTCTTTTACACTTGTGTAGTCCTGGAGCAAGAAGAGGAGGAGGAAAAGCTGCCCTGTGTGCCCCTCAACGTCCCCCATGGCTGTGTAACTGCAGGCTGCTGCCAACAGAGCAGCAGTGCTCTTCTCCATCTCCAGACACACTCACTCCCCAACAAGATACAGTAATTGTATGGCCCCAGGCTGAACCACAACAACTTTCTGTTCTGGACAAAAAAGTAACTCGCCAAACAAGAAAAGTAAATCTTCTAACAGCTCAGTGCGTCTGTGCTACATATGCCTCAGTCACACAACCATCACATCTGCCAAGGAGATGAGCTGAAACACATTCTATCAGCAGGGAAAAAGGAGCGAGACTGTCCAGGAGCAGTGCATCATTAAATCAGGTTGGACACAGCACAGAAGTTATCCCTGGTTTCCTTTCTCAACCGTATCAATGCATTCAGAATGAAAAGTGAATGCATTTCCTTACATTAGAGGATGAGACAGGTGGCTATAGTTGAGACCTTTATACTGAAAGGATCATCTCCAAAATAATCTGACCCATTAAGAAGCTATCACCACGCCCACACTGCTGGTACAGAAGGCAGCCCCAGGAGGGCAGGGTCCCTCTCCACAGCCAGGCTCTCTCCTACCAGCTCAGGAAGGCTCCTGAGAAGTGCCAAGCCTGGTTGGAGAACACACACTCAAATCCACATAGTGTAATGCAAGAAAATCCTGAAGTGAGCTAAGCTATGCTGATAACACCACATTTTCATTTTTCCCATTTTTCTAAAGTCGTCTCCTATTCTGTAATCAATGACCCAACCTTACAGGCTGCTGGAATACACAAACGCTACCTGCTCTTTGCACTTGGCTAATGATAATAAGGTCTAATAATGGACACAGTCTTGCCACGTTTCTAACGGCATCCAAATACTTTTTTTCCCCTCAGGAAACTGGCAGACAGTGTTAACAGGCATACTTTCAAGTATTCACAATTTTAGGGTTCTCAAGGGCTGCCAGGGCTATTTTGGATGCTGGCAATACCATATATTCAATCTGTGCAGTAGAGGCCTCTTTGGCAGAAGAACCACCACCAGTCCCTTCTGCACCAGGGCGGTAAGGAAGACAGGGAATATTTGCCTGCCATACAACTGACCAAAGGGAAAGATTGCTGGGAGACCTGTAATCCAAACAAACACAGAGCTTTGGTGTCCAAGATGTCTGTTTTAATGTCTCCAAAACTTAATGCACCAGATCTGTTTCAATTACAAACAAATGCTGACTTACATTTGCACTACCTAGGCAGCCACTGAAATCTTAGGGCTACAGAAGCAGCTGGCTTTCAACACAATTTGAAAACAGAAGAAAAAACCATTTATTATTGGACACTGTTTCTAAAATGTTACTTACTGAAATGAAAAAAGCAGCCACTGTTCCTTTGTTTCATGTGCTTTTAATAAAGCAAAGCAAATGAGACAAAACTTTTTATGAGAACACTAGAAAACAAAATCTCCTTCTTATCCAATAGCCCAGGGATTTGTGTTCAAGCACTGAGCACTGAGGCTTGATTCCTGTATCTGCTGGAAGGAATGTGAACACACATCTCCTCTCCCCAGTCAGAATCATAACTATCAGATAGGATATCACAGCACTTCATTTCCACCTCTGGACTGCAAAATTTTGTATTCATCCAGAGAACAGAAGAATGTCAACACTAGAAACCGCAAATAATTTTTTCCTAAAACCATACAACAGCACAGTGGTTAAGCACAATCCACTAGGAAATGGATAATGGAAATTCAAATTACAGAGGCAAACAAAAGAGCTGAATGCTGCTCTACCTCAGCCTTGACGGATGGGTTATCCCTTGACTGAGTTTGACCTGAATTCTCACTTACAAAAGCAAAGTAAACAGAAAACCAAATCCAATTCTATTATATCATTGTTGTCATCTTACTTGTAGAATTAAGAGTTTAAGAAGTAAGTACCTAAAAAGACTTATAATCCAAAAAATAGTAATAAAACCCCCCTAAACCTCTTTGCTCCTGACATTAACTTAGTATGTTTAGTGAGCACACAAATCAGGTTAGAAAATCAGGTTACATTTATTCAGAATTTCAATGTCTATCTATGGGTACTCATTTCACTAAATCACAATTTAGTGCCTATGCTAAATAATTATTTTTTTTATTTAAAAAAAAAAAAAAAGGAACAGAAGTGTATTTGTGTCATTATTCAGTAGATTTTTACAAGACACAAAAACCAAAAAGAGCAGAAGTTATACCACATATGTCTTGCAACTTTTTCAGAGATTTTTCTTTTTAATGCAGGGAAGTGCTTATGTCTAAATTTGTTACTGGATATGAGATTTAATGCAAAACTCAAACTATTTTCTGAAATAATGAAATCTGAATTCTCTCTGAAATAGTATGCAAAAAAAGGTCCAGCTTTTTAAAACAGGATCTTTAAAAGCTTCAAATCAGATCCATAAAGTCATTCTCTTTTGTTGTTATCCATTATTTTCACGAATATAAGGTTTCTACACCACAATTGTTTGAGCAGAAATGAACCTGTCTCAAAGTCTATTGATGTTCTGATGTTCAACTGTCTTCAAGCGTTTTCAAAAAGGTCTGTTCCTTTCTTCTTCCTTTCTTCCCTTCTTCCATTTTGACAAACATAGAACCTCCAGACTGAAAAATATTTAATCCAGAAAACTCTGTTTCCCTGATACAGCATGTCCAGTCTTCCATGTGCTTGTGCTCCTCTCTGAGAAATCCCTGTTTACGGTTTTTACCTCGAAAATTGCTAGGATTTTTGCTTGCACCCTTAAGGCTGCTATGGACACACAGATCTTCGTAGGACCAATTAAATGAAAAAAATACTTTCCTTATAATGCAAAGCATTTTTCAGCTTCTACCTGAGGGTTCACTGTAAAACCAAAGGATCCTTTTTTCAGGGTTCAACGGCATAACTTAAGCATCAATTAAAAACTGAAAACAAGTATCAGGCACATTTCCCACCCCTGCTACCTATTTCACAAGAGAAAGGATGCCCCATCTGCCAGTCCAATCAGTTGCAAACTTCTGCGGGAGGAGGCCAAAATGAAAGTCCAGCTGGTAATCCAGCATCTGTAAGAAGTGAATGCGCTCAATCTTTTAGTCTTTAGAAAACAGCTTGCACCCAAGCCCACCAAAATCCAATTTTTGGCATAAGATAGTTCTTTCATGCTGAGGAGTGTACCAGGTATGCTCTCCTGTCGGTGAGCACAGTGGCTGCTGCTGCTCACCGCTCTCGCTGGCTGCTCCGCAGGGCTGAGATTAGACACCAGTAAATTAAACAACCTTGATAATAAAGTAGGCATCTTTGTCACTGCATTACAAACTAGGAGGCGAGATGAGCATAGAGTTGCTCTCCTCATGTGGCAGTTAGCTGACCGCTCCAGTTATCAGCCGCTTCCCTGCAAGAACGCAGCGGTGGCAGGAGGCAGCGCGGTGGCAAAGCCCTGGCAGAACAGCAGCTCAGAGCACGCTGTTAAAGCACGTCTTGGGATACTCCCTCTCTCTCACCTCAGTTTTCCAGAAATTAAATTTGTATCTCTCACTGGTACTTACTCGACAGTGTTAGTCGAAATAGGAAACCTCAGCCAGGAAAATGAAAAAGCACAAAAAAGGCACTTCTTTCCAGTTTTACAGCAGATGTTTGGCTGCCTGCCAAACCCCGATACAGGGTTATGCAAATGCATTTACTCTTCTTTATCAGTAGCCAAAATAACATCACTCTTGTAAAGCGACATCTGCAAGATCGGGTCCATTCTTCAGAAGAACGGCAGCAAATATGCTGTACAACAAAGCAAGGAGGACATTGCTGTGGGATGCTTAAAGAGAGTCATCGTATTTGATATCAGTGACACTCTGGCTCATTAATTAAACACAGATTCAATTTTTGGCTGGATTTTTAGGTTTGGATTTTAGGTCCAAAAGGAAAAGAGAAACGTGTGTGACTACCTGGACACTGTAATATGATGTGACCTTTTTTCCTCTATTCAATCAATGAGCTTTACTCTTGTATTTGGAGTAAGAGTAAGGATTGGGTCAGACTCTCTGCTCTCTGCAGTAAATCTGAGACCCAGTCTCAGCAAAAAAAGTCTGCCAGGAGGCAGCTAATGGAGTTGTACACTCCCAAAAAAGGGGCAGGATCAGCAAAAAAAAAAAACAGAAAGGAGCACAGAAGACGACAGCTCGATCAAGGGTAGAGTCACTAAAACTAAAGCTCCCAGAACCCTCTGCACTGTCATCCAGAAATTCAACGTATAACTTACACAGCAGCACAACAAAGAGAAAACATTTATAGAATCAGTGTCTTCCATTACCTATCCTTACAGTGAATATAGCAGTGAGCATGTGAGGGCAGAGCGAGTGAAATTTTAACAAAGTCAGGATCTCCTTCCCAGAGCCCCTGATAAGGAATGAGATACAAGAGGCAGAAGAACAGATAACAAGTGTTAGCAGACATAAACCTGCTGCTGGTCGCACGGCAGCATAAATCACAAGTGACTCCATTAAAGTCAAGCAGCTACATGAGCATAAAATCTGTATATTTAGAATCAGCATATATTTAGAGACAAGTAATAAAGTCAAGATGTTGGAAACTGCTCGAACCATTCAAAGCTTGACTTTTTTCCAACCAATAAAAAAAAAATCCATACTTTGCTATACAGGTGTAAGAGGAGGGGGTAAGAAAAAGGTTAGAATGTATATTTTCACCTCAGTATGTGTGCAAAACCACTGCAGACATTAACAGGGGTAGAGAATCGGACATAAAATAACCCCTTCTCTCTGCCACTGCAGTTTTTGCAGGTGCCAGGAGCTATAGATTACTGAGAAAATACTGATTTCTGCAAAATTCAGGAGCAGGATTTTTCAAGAACTTCTAATATCCTTCAAAAACAGAACACGAGAAGTTATCCGGAAACCTTGATTTTCTCAGAGCTCACTCAATTTCTCAGTCATCTATAGCTCCTGGCACCTGATCAAATCCGACCTGAAGTCAAATGGCAGAGCTTAGATATCTTAAATTGGAATGCAAGAAATTGAGAGAATAAATCTTTCCATTATTTGCTGCACATTACTGTAACCTTCACATTTGAATTACAGCAAACCAACCTACATAAACTAAGAGAAATTGTTCTATAAAGCACATAAGGACAAGAGAGAAAAGAAAGTCATGTATCTGGTATCAGCATCTAAAAGTTACACCCAGACAAGAAGGCTCCTCAGTAAGCAGGAGAACAATCACAGGTTTACTTACTGATCTGTCCTTACAAGAAATACCTTCTAGCAAACTCACAAGGCCAAACTTTTCAGACTCATTTTTTCCAGCGCTGATTTGTAAGAATGAAGGAGTTTAAGTTCGTGGAATTTTTAGCCACTTCTGCCAAATATATGCAGTACATGACTGAGAATGAAACCTCCCTCTCCCACAGCCAGGGCCCAGCAACAGTACGAAATGATATATAATTCCATTTCCTCGATGTTTCCTCAAAACAACAAAAAACCCAGATGAGAATTATTAAAAACATAAAATGAATTAAACAGTCACAAATCGTAGAAGAATGCAAAGTATTCAGCATATGCTAGCTTTACAAGAAGGGAATTAAATCAAAAAAAAAGACTATAAAGAAAACACATAAAAATTTGCATTTAAAACTCAAAAACGGGAGCGTGTTTGCTGTGCTGCTGCCACACAGACCAAGCGCTCTGTCAAACAAATCCACTGGGGATGAAAGAAAAGATGAAGCACCCTTACCTCAGAGCTGTGTTTTTTCCATCGCTCCTTACACACCTGACCTGCCTGGTTTGGTAACCAATCTCCACCTCCCAGGGACGGTGGTGGGGTTTATAGCCTTGAAGTCCAGACGTGCTTTGCTCTCCAGAGTCCAAACCCAAATCCTGCATAGTCCTCCCTGCCAGGCCGACGTCTTTAGGATGGGGCAGCTGGCATTCGCCCCAAGACCCCACTCGGAGGCTGTAGGTGTGCTCCTCCTCCCCGAGAGGACAGGCAGGAGTGCCACAGGCTCTGGATTCTGTCAGATTTGGGCAGGGGGCACCCCCATAGAGAGGAGGAGCGATGACTGCCCGCGTCCGGTGCTGCAAGCTCTTGGCGCAGCCCGTGCCACACTCAGACCAGCTGGAGAACTCGGACACAACGCAGTCCCGCGGGCAGGGCACCAGGCAGGCTTGCTCAGCGGGCGGCTGTGGCGTGAAATACTCACATATTTCGTTGGTGACAACGGTTCTGTTCAGCTTCTGGAGGCAGCGGATGCTCCGGCGCTGCAGTCCGTGCTGCGCGGTGACGCAAGACCCGGCTCCCACCTCACTGCCAGCAAAGGGAACAAGCCCACACCTTTCCCATCCCGTAACCTCCCACTCGAACAGCTCCAGGTGCCAGTCGCAGACTTTAAAGCACCTCCTCTGGCTTTCAGGTTTGTCCTTCTGGTCGCAGTTCGCGTGGTATGTTGTCCAGCCCTCTACATGGGTGCACCAGACAGCCCGACTCCGGACGCCCCCTGAGCCACAGTCACCGACACACCGGCCCCAGTGACCTGCAAAAGAGGGGATGTTGAGAAATGCCATGCAATACCCCTGCCACAGATCTGTCCTGACACTCAGTAGCATCCAAACCATACCCTGCAATGTATTAAAAAGTAACTATCAGGTGGACCCTAAAATTGGTTAAATGCTTCCTAAAGGCTGCAAGTCATTTCTCCTCCCAGTGTACTTGCATCACTAGACCACATGGAGAAACTAGCAGGGGGAAAAAAAAAAAAATGCCCCACAACATCTCAAATTAAAGGCAGGCCAGACACAGTTCTGTAGCAGTAAAATGCATCCCAAAGCCTGAGGAAATATGAATATTTAATTTCACTTGTACAAATGGATATAAAAATGATCATAAAGGAACAATAATCTAATAGGAAAAGAAAGTCAAGTTAGATAAGAGGAAAACAGTCTTAATAGAGCAATTAGTCAATGGAATAAACTGCACTGGGAAGCAGCTGAATCATCATCCACAGTGATAAAACAGTGAGGATAAATACTACGAAAATAAGAACATACTCTTAATAGGAGTTTGAAATGGAGGAACTGACTTGGTGTGACAGTGTATGTGCTGCAGGATAGGTCCCGCCGGGCGCTGCTCTGAGAGCAGAGCCCTGACAGCAGAGAAGGCCCCTCACGTGCATCGATTTCTGAATTACCCAGGGATGTACATCGTGGAAGTCGTTTCCGTTTGTAGCACGTGGCACTATAAGAGGTTGTAAAGCTAGTCATTCAGGAAGAGATTAAATGAAAATTAAACCCAGCGATGTCACTTTTAGTTCTGGAACACATGAATATATCTACGTAATCGTATGGACCTTATTTGAGGATTTACAAGTGAACGTAATCAGACACAGCTAAATAGGAAGATTCTTCTGTGATAATATTTTTCAAGGAAAATCCACCAAGCCAAAAAAATAATTTGAGGGTTATAAAGTACAAAATTGCTTACAAACTGAAAGAAAAGGTAGAGAAAAGCACTGAGGCTGAATTTTAAGATATTAAAAGGATTTTGATGATCATGTCTCAAGAGGGTCTCATCTCATTTCCAAGTTTAAAAACTTTCCAATACCTCATAACAAAGCCATTTCACCCGGTAAGAACACTGCATATATAATTCTCACTTGAAAATACACTGCAGCTACCCTATCTTCCGTATTTTTTCAAGGCAGAAAATGAACCACAATAAATAGGTTGATTTATATTAAGAAATGCTACTGCAGTCAAGTTTTTTTAAATTGATTTTAAAACTACCGGAATCAGTTACATGCTTACACTACAAAATCAAACACACACATAAAATCCAAAACCAGCCCCATAATGGCTGCAATTATAATACCAGGTATTTCTTCAGCTGACGGCAGTTTTGTTGGTGAACCCGTTGTTTTTTCTTCATGAATAGAGCCATATACTCCAGAGCCAGGGGCTTGATGTTGTGTAATAAAAAAATAAAAATAAATAAACAAAATATCCTGTTCTTTTTTCATCACTAATAAAAAAATAGGAATTGGATATAGCTGAGCTTCTCCTCCAAGACATCCCGTGCTCTCGCCATGTCCCTTCTGTGGGTGCTCCTCCTCCCTCATCCTCCAGGCCAGGTCGGCAACTCTGCCCTTGGTCCGGCACCTTCTCCCATGGCGGACAAGCAGGAGACAAGAGGGGTTTTCAGAGTCACCAGCAGCTCCAAGCTTTTGTTGAATTCTTCAGGCTATGTGAAAAATCTTTGTCCCCTTTGTGCCTCTGTTTCACAGCAAAATGTATCAGTCCAAGGTAAGGCCTCAGCCGTGACACAACTTGAACGGGAAAAGCCATCAAACGGTGCTGTGCTCTACAAACTGTACAACAGGCTTTCAACAGAATCCAATGTGCTCAAAAAAAAATGAATATTCAGAAAAAGAAACCTTGAAATATGAGTTTGAAGTCCAGTTACATGAAGAGGTCCACTGACAATTTAAATGTTCATCCTTGCTACTTCACCTTGATCTAGAAGAGTATTCTTATACAAATGCCAACAAGATTCAAAACCAGACATCATTTTATATTTATACTGTCATCTCCCTAAAAATAATAGTCAAAATTCCAACCTCAAGTACTAGATGGCTTTTTATTTAGCAGAGGAAAGTAACTAAGCATTGCAATGTCGTTGTATCTTGAGTTTCTTTCAGCGTTCATTTCTCTGCAGCAGTTCAGCAAATGCAGCTTAACTTTGAGGTGTGGAAGTTTCAGCTCAGGAAAAGTGTGGTTTTACAGCAAAAACCCAAGAGTAACACTGCTTCACTTAAACATTGAGCATAATGGTATTTTACTCACTAATAAGACCTTGAAACAGATTACACCAATTGAGGATTTACTACTTACATCTTAGGATAGCAAACAGCGTTAAAAATAGCATTAGAATTCCCCCATGGAGTAATACAAAGCAGTTGCAGCAGAGGACTGGCCAAATTACACTCACCAAACCTGCCACTGCTCTTGCACTACTGGACAGAACTCATCTCCTTAGTACTTTTTATACATTTCTGGGTGTTGCTTGTGAAGTACTCTATGTAGTAGCTACCGATTTACCAGTCCTTACATTAACAGGATAGAGACACATGCAGCAGAAACCAGAAGCAGCTTAATGTCAGACATGAATTTTGAATGAAAAATTACCACAAAAAAGAGTAAGCAAGGACTCAAGTAATTACACTATCGTTAGACACATCACAATTGGCAATTATTCCCTGGCAAACATGCTAAAAATGTAGCCTGCTCTTGGCATAAAAATAAAAAAGCATGAAAAATAAGGTTAAAAACCAGATGCAAATCACCTTACCATAGATTTTTTTTTTTCCCCCTCTTCCTGATGATAGGACACGACAGTAAACTTATCCACAATGTTTCATTGTTTAGTTAAATATCCTGTTCTGTAGCTTAAATGAGGAGAAGGATGTAAATACTTCCTAGTCAATAGAGTGCTTTGTAATTAGATTTTAATTATTTTTAGTCATGTTAAATTTACACTTTCCTATAAATCTGAGACAGTTAGAAGAAACAGCTCAGCACAATGTGAATAATAATATTAACTACATTTTATTAAAAACCCTCTGGAATTGAGGCATCAAAAGCCCGAACTTCAGAAAGATGCTTTACAATTGGAGGCTACTGGTAATTAAAGCAGAAGACTAAAGAAAATGAAATATATTTCACAGTGATTTTTCTACAGAAAGTACAAAAAGCTGAAGATAAAGGACAGATACTGTCTGTCTTCCTAACTACCGTAACCTCATGAGATGCTGGATGGACGTTTGATCTCATCACAGCAGGACACAGGAGGGAGAAGAACAGACTGTGGACATACGTTGATATAGGGGAGCTCCCAGCTGGATATAAGGAAAAACCTCATCCCTATGAGGATGACCCTTGGAACAGACTGCCCAAGGGACAGCAGAATCTCATCCTTGGAGGATTTCAAGATCTGACTAAGCAAAGCCCTAAGCAACCTGGTATGAATTCAACGGTCAACCTGCACCAAGCAGGAAGTTCAACCAGAACCCATGGTCCTTTCCAACCTGAATTGCTCCATGAAGGAAAGTAAGGCTTTGTCCACTAAGATGTCAAAAAAAGTTTTTCACTAAAAAACACCACTGATATATGGAAAGTACCAAGGAACATACAACAGCACAAATAAATCCATTATTCAAACAAACCAAAACGAAATTCAATCAAATCACTATTTAAAAGCTTGCTGACTTGTGCAAAAATTGTAAGACAGTGGGATGTAATATATCCTCTAGTATAATATTCTATATTTTATAGTAATATGAATAGTATTAATATAATTACTATATTAATAGTGTATTGTTATATATCAAAGAAAAACTACAAATTGTTCTCTTTGCCATCTTCTATCAGCCAGAAAGAATACAATGCTATCATTCCATGCAGCTTCTCTAATTCTGTTAAAAGTATGCAATAACACAATAACTGTAGTTTATATGATGTAGTGTGCACTCATTTGCTCTTCTTGCCTGCAAGACCTACCTACAACTATGCAATAATTATGTCTGAACGGATACAGTGACATCTGCTCTTTGACACACAGGTCACAGAAGCGTAAGGCAAGCGGGCTATTCAGACAATAATTACATATTACAGACAAAATGAAACACCACTAAACATTAAATCTAAAATAGAAATCCCAATAAGAGCTGCTTAATAAGTATGTTATTGCTTAATAAGGACTGCTACAATAATTATGCTCTGTTCAATGTAACATTTAGCTTAATTGCAACCATTTCACCATCTGAGAATTCATTCAACAATAAGCATCTTCCACAATTATTATGTCCCTGTAGCTATGTACTAATTTGCAAACTTCGGACAAGATCAGCAATCAGTTAAGTAGTGTATTGTGTTAGTAATTTATTTCAAACAGGTAATAGATACGATTCAATTCACATCTGATACATACAACAGTGAAGGAACAGGGAAAAAAATTAATGGACAATCACCGGAATAGTCTTCCTATTTTTACAATTTTTAATTTGTCTTTAAGTATCAAATTTAGAAGCAATTGTTCTAGAACTTAACAATTTGATTTTAAACAGAATCTCCTAATTCTTAGACAAAGATCCCCAAATATCATAACAGAGACATATGACTTCATTAACATCTGGCTGAAGAATAACTCCGCCAGATGTGACCATGACTCCAGAAGATCACTGCAGTGTCCACTTTCACTGAATACTTCTGCTTGAAACATCATATAACCACTCTGGATGTCATTCTAGCATCCTTCCACCAGAGCATGTTTATATGAAATGGAGAGCTCCAACTCATCCTGCTATTCCTGAGAACAGGTAATGACTGACTCAAACAAAACACAAGCTTTATTCCTAATGGCATTAAACCACTTCGTCTTAGCTATTAGTAACAGTGGTAAAAAATAAGTTCCACTGAATTGGTTCCCTCAGAACTGATTATTTTATGACAAGTTGAGATTTATGTAATTTTTATGCAATTT